TCATCTCCAGCATATCGCCATCCCTCGCTGTTACAGCCCTCACAGCGTCACGGGTACTACAAACGAGGTTCACATCTTCTGTGATGCCTCCGAGAGATCCTATGGAGCTGTTGCCTATCTGAGAACCACAGAGCAACAGGCACACATCTCGACCTCCTTCATCATGGCACGCTCCAGAGTTGCACCCCGCAAGCAGGTGTCGATTCCCAGACTGGAGCTGTGTGCTGCGTTGACCGGAGCCCAACTAGCTAAAGTGCTCCAAACTGAGCTTTCATTACCACTCCACTCCATATATCTATGGACGGATTCTACTACAGTGCTGCAGTGGATTCAGTCCAGTTCCTGCAGGTACAAAGTTTTTGTTGAGACTCGGATTAGTGAAATACAGGAGTTGACCTCCCCAGAGCAGTGGGGGTATGTGAACTCTGATGAAAATCCGGCTGATGACATCACAAGAGGGAAACTGCTGTCAGAGCTCACCATCTCCAGCCGCTGGTCACAGGGCCCACACTTTCTCACAAAGAGTCCTGACACCTGGCCGAAACCCCCAACGGAGTTTTCACATTGTGGCAGTGAAGAACTCAGAAAGACTGTTTTTTGTAGCTTTACATCTATATCTCGAAATTTACCAGATCCTGCACAGAGCAATTCATTAGAGGACCTGCTTCTGGCCACTCATCAATCTCTGCATGGGGCGGCTGCCACCTCCTTCACTGCTGCGGAGCGTCTGGAGGTGGAGAACAAGTTGCTTCGCTCTGCACAGGAGGACAGCTTCCCAGAAGAGGTCAGAGCCCTCCAAGCTGGTGACTCTGTGCACCCAACCAGTCGTCTTAATGCTTTCTCCCCTGAATATGACAGCATCAGTGGACTGATCAGAGTTGGAGGACGCCTACGCCAAGCGATGGATGTAGATTTTGACAGCATCCATCCAGTTGTATTAGCTCCTGATCATCCTCTGACTCGACTCATCATAAAGCACTACGACGCTCAGCTATTCCACCCAGGTGCAGAGAGACTCTATGCTGAAATACGCCGCACATATTGGATCCTTAAAGGTCGACAGGCCATTAAGAAACACCAGTACCAGTGTGTGGACTGTAGGAGATGGCGCGCCTCACCTTCCACACCAAAGATGGCTGACCTTCCCTCAGCTCGCCTGAGAAGCTACAAACCCCCATTCTGGTCTACAGGAGTAGATTGTTTTGGACCCTACCTAGTTAAGATTGGACGTCGAAGAGAGAAACGCTGGGGGATCATCTACAAATGTCTGACTACTCGATGTGTTCACTTGGATCTCCTCCCTAGCCTCGACACCGACTCTTTCCTGATGTCTTTACGTAGGTTTGTTGCTCGCCGGGGGAAGCCGTACGAGCTGTGGTCTGACAGAGGCACCAATTTCAGGGGAGGATACAAAGAACTGCAGAGCGCCTTTGAACACATGGCCCCAGTGTTGCAGCAACAGTTAGCCAAACAGACCATCAACTTCAACTTCAATCCGCCGCATGCTCCACACTTTGGGGGAGCCTGGGAAAGGGAGATCAGGTCAGTCAAATCAGCTTTACAAGTTGTCCTGAAAGACCAAGTTGTGGCGGAGGAAGTGCTTCTAACAGCTCTCATAGAGGTTGAAGGCATCCTTAACTCTAAACCTCTCGGTTATGCCTCCTCTGACGTGGCTGATCCAGACCCCATCACACCAAATCTTCTGTTAATGGGGCGGCGTGATGCAGGACTACCGCAGGCAGTATATGGTTCTCATGATGCCCTGTCCAAGAGAAGATGGCAACACAGTCAGATCGTCAGTGATCATTTTTGGAAACGCTTTATCCAGAACTACCTCCCAGGACTTCAGTTACGACAGAAATGGAGGAAATCGACTGAAAATACTGCTGTGGGACAAATTGTGATGATCGTTGATTCCAATCTTCCCAGAGGACTGTGGCCTGTTGGGATCATCACGAAGGTTTTCCCTGGGAAGGATGGCGTTGTTCGAGCTGCTGAGGTGAAGGTTAAGGACAGTATCTACCTCCGCCCGGTAACCAAACTGGTAGAGCTTCCTGAGGTACCTGAAGATTTGAATACTTCTTCAAACTAGCGGACTTTGCATGTGTGTATTTGTTGCAAATACAGGGGCGGCTGTTAAAAGTCCGTCCGTTTCTTTAGTACCACATTACCCATGATGCATCTGTTCATTTTGTAGTTCTAATTTTACGTAGCTGAATAAGTTGTGTTTTCCATGCTTCTGGGTGGTTCGGTGGCACAAAATAGCATCCACCATTAATCCTACTTCAATCCAGTGTGTATGAAACCTGTGTGCGTTCTTTACGATGTAAGTATACATTTTAAGTCCGATATTGTGTTTCTTTTCTGTCAGTTATTAACCCAGGAGGTTAAATTGTCCTTTAGTTTCTCTGGTTACTGACAATGCAAGAATATACTTATAATAACTGAAGTTCTTTGTTACACTTTGCTAGATATATTTCCATTTTATTAGTAAATGAGGGCATCGCCGTTTATTTCATATTTTCTGACGGTTTTGTCAGTTAAATGCTTATTACGTTTGATTAATAATGCATGTGTGATGTGATGGCGACCTCCAGTGGATTTATTTGGTATTACAAGCCAATTTCATCCTTCATCTATATGCCCCTGTTTTGCCTGCATAGCTATAAATATGCATATTTATTGTTTATTCTGTTTCAGATAACCACACATCCATATACATATCCATAAGAAAAGCAAATATAAACCTCATCATTTGTACCATCATCTCCAATGTACCTGCTTCTATTCCATTAATAAACTTTTGAGCTGCACCGATGGAGTTGGCATATTCCTTCTGACCGAGGAAGATTCAACTGATGAGATATCTGGAACTAGTGCATCTAAACGCACACAGTCTTCTAAAACACTTTTGGTTTTGCTCACATTTTTCATGAGATGAAGTCAAAGATCTAAAACTTTTTGCACATGCACAATATAACCATTTCCTGCAAATATTTTTCCCAAACCAGTCTAAATCTGTGAAAGTGTGCACTTCTCCTTTGCTGAGATAATCCATCCCACTTCAAAGGTGTGCCATATCAAGATGCTGACTAGACACCATGATTAGTGCACAGGTTTGTGTTAGACTGCCCACGATAAAAGGCCACTCTGAAAGGTGCAGTTTTGTTTTACTGGTGAAGGACCAGTCTGTATCTGGTGTGACCACCATTTGCCTCACAGAGTGCAATACATCTACTTTGCATAGAGTTGATCAGCTTGTAAACTGTGGCCTGTTGGATGTTGGTCCACTCCTCTTCAATGGCTCTGCAAAGCTGCTGGATATTGGCAGGTACTGGCACACGCTGTCGTAAAGGCTGATCCAGAGCATCCTAAACATGCTCAATGGGTGACTTGTCCAGTGAGTATGCCAGCCATGCGAGAACTGAGACGTTTTTAGCCTTCAGGAATTGTGTACAGATCCTTGCAACAGGGGGCCGTGAATATCCTGCTACAATACGGCGATATTCTTGGAAGTATGGCACATCAATCTCGTCACGGTATCTCTCTGCATTCAAAGTTATATCAATAAAATACACCTCTCCAACGTGCCAGATGCCGGCAAATGTAAGCATTTGCCCACTCAAGTCAGTTACGACAATGAACTGGACTCAGGTGGAGACCCCGATGAGTGCGACGAGCATGCAGATGAGCTTCCCTGAGACAGTTTCTCACAGTTTGTGCAGAAATTCTTTGTTTATGTAAACCAATTGTCTGAGTGGCTGCTGGTCTCAGACAAGCTTGGAGCTGAACATGCTGTATGTGGAGGTCCTGGGCTGGTGTGGTTATACATGGTCTGCGATAGTGAGGCTGGTTGGATTTACTGCCAAATTATCTGAAACACCTTTGGAGACGGCTTATGGTAGAGAAATGAACATTCAATACACAAGCAACACGTTTGGTTGACATTCCTGCTCTCAGCATGCCAATTGTATGCTCCCTCAAATCTTCTGACATCTGTGGCATTGTGCTGTGTGATAAAACTGCACCTTTCAGAACGGCCTTTTATGGTGGGCAGTCTAAGGCACACCTGTGTACTAATCATGGTGTCTAATCAGCATATTGACATAGCACACCTGTGAGGTGGGATGGATTATCTAAGTGCTCACTTTCATAGATTTAGAGTTTGTGAACAATATCTGAGGGAATTGGTGATATTGTGTATGTGAAAGTTAGATACGTTCAAGATGTTTGGTAGATCTTTCACTCTTTTTACTACTTTTTAGCTCTGCTCTTTATCTCTTTCTGAGGGTAGAGCTATTCTCTCAGACACCTTTTGAACAGGTAGATATTTTGTAATGTTTGAAATATTCTCTGTGTTATATTTTAAAAGTCAAACTAATATTCCTACCTTGTATTATAATATTTTATGTACCGATGTTAATAAATGACTGAGTCCATGCAGTGATTCTAATTGTAAGAATATGGATTAATTATTAATTTGTTTGCTTTCTTTATGTAGAGTATCTTTAACCTATAAAACAATTGAATTTAATTGCATGTAATAATTAATAAGGCAGATAAAGGTGTTTATTTTCATAATTTATAGAAAAGAATGAACCTAATTTCTTTTTTATGAAAATAAAAAAAAAAAATTGTAAAGAATAAAAGATTTTAAAAAACACGTTCTCCTCTCGCGATCAGATTTATTTGCAGACAAATATAAAAATATTTACAAACCACTTAATAACTAAATGAATTACGGAAATTCTGTTGCCTGTTACTTGTTTTGATCTTTTGGAAGAAAAGGAAGGTACAACTTTGCCTGAAGCTGACCTCATTTGAAGGTTAAGCATTAATGGATTCACCAGGTTTGAGTTTTTTTCTAACTTTTTTGCAAGCAAGTTTCTGAGATGGTGGGCAGGATAAGCTCCACTTGTGAACTCCTTTGAACCCCTTATCTTTGAATCTGTCCCATTGGGACAGGATGTTTTCCTGGTGGAAGGAGGAGGAACACTCACCTCAGTATGCTCCTCTGTCGTGCTCTGGGTCACTGTCACCTCTTTGTATTTTTCATCAGGCTGAGGCAGAACTTTGGTCAGGCCCTGAGTGACCCAGCCCATTACTCCCGTCCTGATGGCAAAGCAGTCCCATTTCATTCTCACATCACATTAGATATCACATAGTATGTTGTTCACTGCATCAGTACCTTTCTCCATCTTCTCCTGACTGGGGTGCAGAAAACAAGAAGCAGATAACATTATGAGCCTTAAGTATTAAACGCAGTCTAATGAGTTTAATTAGAAAGAATAGATCCCAGGGGTCCTGTTGGATAATAAATGGCATCACTTATCATCTGATCCAATCAGAACCTTCCCATGTTCTGATGATTACATGTCTTTAGCAGTGTGCTTTAATTTTTTTGTATTGTTTTATTTATAGGATTCCTAACTTTAGCTAATCTGAGACCAGCAAAATATCAGCAGGATGGATCAGGGTTATTAGTTACCTACCCTGGAGTCTGAGTTGGCCCCCTTAGGCAGAGGGGATCCAGGAGGCTGCGGCAGGGCGCTGACGAACCCATTAGACAGCCAGCCAATCACACCAACGCTGTTCTGACTGTAGACCAAGTTAAACACAGGTCAGCATTTATAAAATGCTGAGTCATGATAAGGATGAAGTTCAAGTTGGTGCAGAGATGTTTTACCTGTCCTCTGAAGCCTCTTCTGAATTTTTCACAGAAGCATTCTTAGCTGTAAGAATCAGATAACATAATTATGGCCGCGCTTCTGGGAAGTTAAGATCATAAAAGATGAAGAGGGTTGGTCCTCACCTTCTTTGTTCTTTCCAGACACCTGAATGAATGAGGAGAATAAATGAAAACAATTCCGAAATAAAAGAAACTGAAGTTACATTCAAGTAGATTTTCTTTCTAAAAAACCAAACATTCATCCTGATTTTGAGACAAAATAAAACCCAGAGTCAGAGACTACAGTTTTGTTTTGTTTTTAGGTACAATTTATGAACAACTTGGATTACAACTTACTCTTTACAGTCAGGACATTAAAAAGTTTAAATGTTTTAATTTCCTTTAAAGTTTTGTCTAGTTTTTCCAAGCATTGAACAGGTTGTGCGTTAGCATGAACCATCTTCATATAACCTTGTTCTGAATCTGAGAAGCCTGCTGACCACATGGACCAATACTGCCTCCCTTTATGGGCATAATTCCTGATAGAGGAGCTGACAGAACCAGGAGTATTAGAATTATCAGCGGTTCTGTTCAAATTAGATCCCACATCTGATCCTTAGTAGGCAACATTTTTTCCCGTCTACTCCCTGGGATTCTGGAGCCGGAAGCTGTAGGATCAGGAAGTGGTTCTGCAACATTATCCTAATTGTTTCAGACTGAATCCTGGTTTCTATAATATTTGAAAAGAAACGCAAAATTTGCTCAAATATCAACTTTAATGAGCTTATATAATCTTTTTTTTATTTCTTATTTCCTTGTGGTATCAAAGTAGAACATTTTCTGATTGCACTTCTTTGTTTTTCCACTTTTTAGTTTGTTACATGGAAAATGGTTTGACTAGTGGCAAAACGTATTCTTTCTTACATTAATTATCAGTATGTTTCCAATAGTCCAGGACTGAACAATAATAATTATATATCCTGACTTCACCAACATAGTTTGATGCCTCTCTTTTATGGATGGAGACAGAAGGTCAGAAATCAAGATAAAAAGCAGAAAAAAATCTTGAGGAATCCCAAAAAGCTAAGGGTCTAAAAAATGTTACACATCCCAACAGTCTGACTGCTGGGAACAACAGGAAAGGGTAACCAGGGCTGGGTTAAAATGTTTGCATAGTACTCTTAATAATTTCACGTGTAATCTTACAGCAGCAGAGTTCCCAGGAGTTTCGACAGTTCCTGGAGCTTCGGCAGGTTGAGGAACCACTTTCACCACCCAGGTAAACATCCTGCTCAACAAACACAGCAGTCAGCCTCTAAAGAGTCTGAATAGTGAAATATTTACCATTGTACTGGTTTTATAATGATTTTAATAACGACTAATATGAACAAATACTTTTCAGACTTCCTTTTAAACAGATTCTTCACATGTAGAAAGCTCCTGACTGGAGTAAGGGATTTATTAAGGGATGCTTTTTTTTTTGGTTGCTGTTTTTTTTTTTCAGATAGCAAACATCTGGAAAGCATCTGTATTATTTCATAACATGGTTTTAACATGATTGGTGATCTTACAGCAGCAGTTCCCTCCATCAGAGAGCAGAGCAGTAAGCTTGTTGAGATAGCAGAGCTCCATAAGCTGCTTTACCAGGAAACTCCACAGGTGGGAGATGATCCAACCAGTTCAGATCAGAGACACACAGCAGTGACCATCATGTAGGAGGAGGAGGGGACTTTAAGCAACCCTGCAGCCCCCCTCACTGATTGTTCATTGTCCTATCTGGATAATCCAGCTCAACAAAAGAGTTGATGCAAGACGTGCAGCTCCAGCCTGCAGGCCGCTCTAAGGAACCGGGCCAGCTGACGCACGGCTTTATCACTGCCGGCACAAACACTCATTCGTGGGAATGGGGACATCACAGCACTATTCAGGCACAAAGGTTCCAAAGAATCAGCCTTCAGTCCCTTTACAGACAACGATCTATATCCTGAGCAGAGAAAAGATCTCTGAATACAACTACAAACAGCAAGAGCCAAAGGGATCCAGCAAATCAGCTCAAACTAAAGCAGAATGAATAGAGGAAGAATTTGTATTTGTTTCGAGACAATTTTTTTTTACCACAAATCACTACTTTCTTTGTTGTTTGCGGTTCCTGACATAGATCGGAAATCAGGTGGGGCCTAATCTGAAATTATTGCTGTTGGATTAAGTCAATGAGCTCTGTCTCTGGAGCGGTGTCCAGTCACTGGACCATGGGCATGTCCAACCTGGTCCCACAGCTGCAGCTTTACCAGAAACGTTTAGGAATAAACCAAACAGTGCATCATATCCTCACATCTATCATCCAGCTGCTTTACACACCACTGTGCAGCAAGCAGTCAGAGCACTGAGTCTGATCAGCCCTTTGGAGTAAAGTCCACTTTATCTCCTCCACCTTCCTTTTATTTTTTGCACTAACTAGTCTCCTTACCTGTGAATCTACAGGTGGTTGTGCATGCCGATGGTTTGGAGACCTCAGAGCGCGGCGAAGCCAGTCCAGATCTGCTCGGATCTCCTCTGCAGCTGCCTGGGGAAGCTAACAGGATTAACCTGCATCACCTGAAGGTCGGGCCACAGTCAGATTAACGTCACAGAACCAAATACAATCAACCCACCTTCAGAGGAAAAGTTTGTCCAAATTAATCTCAGGTATCCTCTGGGGGTCACCCTCCCACACAGTTTCAACACAACTTTAAATGCAATGTCTAAATAAATCACAGACCACAAGAGTAATCAAGCAACACCTGAGAGAAATTGAATAAAATAAAATTTATTTAGAGGTATCAGAGTAAAAGGCACTGAAGACAGGTGGCTAGAGAGAGTAGTTATGCTTCTGTTCTGTTGCAGGAACCCAGAGAGAACCAATAACCCAGGACTTTAATGGATGGCAGCAGTGCTGAACGATTTCAAACCTGTGATCCTATTTAGCATAATGGTGATACCATCACCTGTTTTGTGCTCCAAGATGCTCAAGAATGAGCAGAAACAGTGAAAATGCCTTTGCTAAGAAGGTAAATTCATATTCAACATACTAATTTCTGTTGATAGTAACTTATTTGTCAATGCAATTTTAAGGGAGGGAGCAGTAAGTAGCTTGCAGCATCAGGGGAACATTGTTTTGGGACTCTGAGGGGATTCAAACCAGAGACCTTGACGCCCTGCTCATCTAGATAGCTGCAGTAATACAGCGTTTTGGATAAGCTCAGCATTTAGGCTCTTTTTCAGAGCGTGAAAGTTTTATCTGTGCAGGAAATCCAGGAAGATTTCCCTCATAATTATTATACCGGTTCTAAAAAAAACTGGTTTAGTTTTTAACCTCCTGGTTAGAAGTATGACCAGCTTCACGGTTAAATTAGCATTAAAGTCACCAAAACTGGCAAAAAACAACAACAACGAGAACACACTAGAGGAGTTGTGTTTAATGATTAAAGAGATCAGCCCTGCAATGAGGCGCCGCCCTGAAAGGAAGGAGGAGGGTGAAGAGACATGATGTGATGATGTCACAGGGTAATCAAAAGGGGTTCAGGTTGGCCCTTGTTTAACAAATATTTATCTATTATCAGCTTGTTTTACATTTTCAGGTGAGGCTCAGGAAGCAAAAAAAAAAAAAAAAAACCGAACATTTTTAAAGAACAATGGACCATGAAGATCATCTAATATCAGAGATGAGTCCCTCTCCTTAACCGTCTGCTTCGACTGATCCCACCACTTTCCAATCAGACCTGCTTTCATCTGCAAAAGCATTGGAGGGCCAGGAGGCAGTGGGTAGATCCTATTATCAGCTCAGCATGGGATAAGCTCCATCAGGTCCAGGACACGGACCCCAAAGGCTTCAGTCCTGACCAAACATCTGGATTGGACCCGGGACATAAAGGTCAGCGCACAGGTTGTCTCCAGACAGTATGGGAGTGTGCAGGAGACCACAGGTCTGCAAAGCTGGATACGAGCCATAAGTGTGAGGAATGGAGGAGAGAGCAGATGCAGACGTAAAGCTGCTGTGGATGATCTGTGATGGAGGCTAATCCTGATTACCTCCGACATACAGAGCAGCAGGACACTGGACAAAGACATTTGTCTCCTCCTAGTTCATTTACAGCAATAAAACCATCTTCATTCACTTTAATAGAGAGAAAAGATATTCAATTTGCATAAATAAATGAGACTGTATTAAAAAGATGAACAATGATAGTGAGTCTTGGGTGTTTTTTTTTTTTTTTCTCATGCAGTTTCCTGCACATCTTCCTGGTTTGGTTTCCATCTTAAAGTCTTTGAGATCGTCCACAGTAATTTTTGTCCTTTTTTTTGGCCCTCCAAGCAACCTTTAAACTAAAGTTTGTTTGAATGATGTCTGGAACGACCAATTTTCCGTTTAGGTTCCCGTATCCAGAATGTCTAAAACACAACCACCTGTCTGATTCCTTACTAGTCACAGACTGAACACCAAATTGAACAGTCCTCTTTGAGTCACAGATTCAGCAGTAGGATTATGTGGTTTATTTATATTACTACACTTACTTGGACAGTATTTACCAAGCAGAAATATAACTTCTACTCAAAGTCAACTGATGTTATTTGAACGAAGCTGTAGCTCCATCCATCCTCTCATCAAATCCTCCCCATAGAATGATGCCACGACCATTGTGCTTCACAGCAGACTTTGTGGATTCATGATTCAAATTGTCTAAACTGATCTTCTTTTTCTATGTATTTGCTGTGTTTCTTACAAGGCTTGTGACAAACTGCAAACAGGACTTTTTCTGGTTTTCTTTTTGTTCCTCCTCCATATTAGTCAAATGCATATCACAGCCATCATGGCTTTTGCTACACGTTCTCTAAAGAACGTCTGAGGCAGGAAAACCCTGGAGCAAAAAATATATATCTCATGTGTTCAAGCAGACACTGACCAATTCAAAGAAATAATTAAATCTGAAGATGATAATAAACAAACACTTCTGAAATATTTGTTAATTTACAATAAAAATCAAAATATAATCACATTTAATTTCCTATTGGTATTAATAAAGTAGCTTTCAATTTAAATTGCATCATTTTAGTTTAAATATTAACCGCTCTCTTCTTTACTTTTGTTTCCTTCAGTTTGTTTATTTATTTTCTTACTGTGAACTTTTTGAAGCAGCAGTGCCCTCTTGTGGTGAATCAGGAACATGACGAATCAAAGGAGCCACGTTAGTTTTAATGTGAAACCTTTAATGTGCTCTACACAAGTCCACAGGCCCAAAACAACATGACCTGCATGCATCAACATAGTCATAACAATCTACTGTCCTTAAAGAAAACCTACAAAATCACATTGTAAAAAACTTAAAAAAAATAGCAGGCAGACAAGAGCAAGGAAGTGGTTCTCTATTTGTATTTATATCAAAGAAACGATGCATTAAAACATGTGACTCCAGAGTTTACTGTAGTAAACTTGAAAAAAAGGACAGAAGGAGTGGGACACCCTGCAGAAAAAAACATATAGACAATATCTAGTTACATCTAACAGATGGTCTTTTGCATTAATAACAGGTTTTCCACAAGTGGAGGAGAAAATGAAAATAAATCAAGCTTCAACAACTATACAGAAGGAAAAACAATGATTAAAAACAAACAAAAGGAATAAAGAAAGACATCAGCTTTTTTTCTAACAACCCAGAGGTGCTAAAAAACAGACGAGGACTCAGTCGTTCAATCTGGGTCAGGAAGAGCAACGCCAGCATTGCCCCTCCTTCCTTCCTCCCTTCCATCTCTCCTCTGTCCCTCCTTCTTTTTCAAGAGTCATGGAAAAATACCCCCCCACCCCCCAACCTTTTTTCTTTACTCATTCTTTCTTCTCGTCTCCTATGATCATTCTTACGGGCAGATTTTTCTACCCCCTTCTTATCCTCCTCCTCTCATGCTTTACACTAGTAAATCAGCAACATGTGGGTTTAATCCAAACCAGACCTTGACTTGTTCTGACGCAGCCTGCAGATTTCAGCTTTTACTCTTTTGCTTCACAACTTCACAAAATCAACAGAAGAACAAAGAGGCCCTGCTGCATCTTGTAACTTGCTTAGAAAACTATAGACATTTGGAAAGCAAGGCGTCCGTCACTTTAGATCCTCTTATAAAAATACAGTCCCAGAACTGAAACAGAGAGAGAAATGCATTGGCCTGCTGGGACTTTGTTTTAGTGCTGTAGGCGGAGCTGCGTAAGGGACTCTGCATGTGAACATTCATAAACAGATGAGCAAATCATGTGACACTGGATCATGTGTATTAGAGGTGGGGGGAACATGAAGGGCTCAGTGGGAGACGGGCGGTCACAGACATGCAGCTGTCCAACATTCCTGCCTTAGTCGCAGCTTCACAGAAAGGATCTCTGCTCTGCAAAACACAGGAAGGAGCAAACCAAAGTGCAAGACAAAAACACCAGAATGAGGCCATGAACCTGAATACAGCACAGCAAAGACCTGATCAACATTGATTCCTGTTCTACAGAGACATGCAAAAGTATTCACAGCCTTTAACCGATCCGGCCACAAGGAAATACTTTCTATTGGGCTTTTAATTCGAACGGGAAGAAGTGTAGAACTGGGGGGTACAACTCAGGAAAATGGGCTGCGGATTAGGATTCACTTTCCTTTACTCTGATACCCCTAAATAAAAGGCTATTTAAATCCAGTCTAACTGCAGACCTTCTGGTCCTGGCCTCAGAGGTTGTTTTGAGAACAACAAGCATCATAGAGACCAAAGAACTCAGCAGATGGGTCAGGTTGTTCACTCTGTCCTCTAAACAAGGAGAGATGATGGACCACCTGTAGACCTACAAGGACATGGACGTCCACCTAAACTGACTAGCTGGAGGAGGAGAGCATTATTTAGAGAATAGTTCAGCATTTATATAGAGAGAGCCATGTCTCAGGAAGGATAATATATCCAGGGGACACGTTTTAGTGGTGAACCCCATAAATCTGGGAGCAGGGAGAAAGGTGGAAGATGTCCTTCTAGCAGTTTGCTACAAGCCAAATACTGTAGGACACAAGTACAGGAGCTTTGATCGGACACCAGAACTGAACTGCTTGCTCTTCATTTAAAAGTTTATATATCGATTTAAATAACATCCTGAGCCCAGAATCCTCATGTGGAAGCAGGATGAAGATAAATCAAGGAAGACATTGTAGGAAGGAAAAACAACTAAAACTTTGTACAGGTATGGATCCCATTCTCTTCAGTTCTACACTGCTTTGTTATGTTCATCTTAAATGATCCAAATGACAAACTAATAACAAGCTTTTGGTTGTGACTCATGATAAAGCTAAAGGAAGATGAATATTTTTACAGGTCTCCGTAATAACTGAAGCATATCTGTCAGTTTTTATGTGTGTTCTGTGTAATTTATGTGCTCTAGTGACTTTTCTGCATTTGTTCTCCAGCTGGATCCCTCAGACAATAAGAAATAGCAGAAACAGTTATTGGAAAGCATGCTGCTCTTTCTACTGCCCAGACAACTTGGCTAAAGATATTTTACGCAGTGATACATTTCTAAGGAACACA